ATACTCCTTCCGGACCTACTAGACCTAGTGGAAATGAAAGTTTCCAGTTCTGAGTTTTGGTATCTCTTCACAGCATCAAGTACCTTTTCAGCTACAACCTCTGCTGCAATATCCCCTCCACAAAGAACACGGATGTCGTACCACCTTTTGTAGAACTGCTTCCTAAACTGAAGTATGTCCTTGAGAGAAATACCAGGAGACTGGCCCACGATGCGATCCACTTTCATCGATTTCAGCCTGCTCATAATGACTGTTGTGGGCACATCCAGATATACAACTATTCCATTTTTCTTCATATGCTGCATGCCAGCAGAATGCATTGGATTGGACCCAGTAAGGGAAATGACACTTCCAGATGCTGAAAACTTCAACAGGGCTTTTCCTTCCTCCTCTAAAAATTGCTCATTACCTACGTCCTGCAGTTTTTCCGACACACTCATATTCCAGGTTGTTTCAAGGACATCGTCATCTATGTCTATGACAGGGCAATCTAGTTTCTGACCTACTATTCTCCCAACTGTTGTTTTCCCAGCACCCGGAGGTCCCATCAGGATAATATTTTTGTTTCCAACAAGAGAATGGCTTGAGAACCATGACTTCCATATCTGTGCAAATGCAACAGGTCTTGAAAGCATGAGTTTAAAACACATGCTAGTAAGACTGTTTTGGGTTATTAGTCTTAAAGGCTGATACGGAACAACATGCAACATCTTCTTCTGCTGGGTTGTTGGGTTTGGTTTTTTTTTTCCCAAACCAACTTGACAATCCACTTAACTGCTTCAAAAAGAAAAAAACAGTAATTAGTCCTTCAGCAAACATCTAGGAAAAAACCTAAGGGATATGAAATTCAGAACAGCAAGAATTCAAACATAAATCCAGTTATGACTTTAGCAGTGCCAGGGAGGTATTTTTCAGAATAAGACCCATTTCCCTCTCCTGCATAGCTCCAGCTCGCTTCCCACTGACAAATCCAACTTCAAACAGTCCATGTCCTCAGAGTAAACAAAGACACTCAAATCTAACACTACAATACTATTTGCAAATAATATTGTTTATAGGAATTCAAAACCAATTAGTTTTTCCTCTAGTAGACTTACTTTTAAGTACGCATTTACAAATAATGAAGATTAACTAAAATATCTTCTTGTAATCAAAATGTTAACAAAATATGCATTTTTCCCACCTCCCAAGATGCCTTTGATTTCTTATATTGTCTTTTGAAAAAAAAGAAATGCAAGACCGACTTAAAATACACAGAAAACTCACAGATTTGTGCAACAGCAAGGCTGGAAGAGTTGCATCCAGTTCTCTTCTGAAGGGATGGCAAACCAAGCAAGTGATTTGTGAAGAACTCCTATAACGGAATTGTATTGAGTGTATTTGTGTAAAGTAAGAGAGAGAGAAAACACGTCATGAAGACACTCTACCCTCGGAAAAAACCCAACATCACTAGGAAAGTTGGATCTCCAACAAAGATTAAGCAAGAAGCTCTCAACATGGTATTTTGTTTGCTTAGAGAAATCAACACCAGTATCAGCATGAATTGCAGCACATGATTTATGCGTGTTTTGGGCAAAGGGGGAAGAACTCTCAAAATCTCCGTAAAGGGGCAAGAAGGGGGCAGAAATCAGCACAAATTTGCATGGAAAATCCCTACTGAGTCATTTTTCATTTTAGGTAGGCAAACAAATATCACTTTATTATTGTTATTTATTCATTGTTCATGACTAAAAATACTTAAAGAAAAGCAACACTGAACTTCCTTTTAGGAAATTAATGAGATTTTAGATGTAAAAATCCAACTCGATGCTTACTCATCAATTCTAAAAAAGTAATAAATATTTTTTATGTATATATATTTGAACTATATATAGAATCAGTATTTTGTAGAAATTATTACTTTTAGTTGCTATAGTATGCACTACAAAGAGATGGTTGACTAAGCTGCAAGTTGTACTTTTTTTTTTTTTTTCTCCTGGCACTGTAACACGTAACCAAAATGGCAATCAGCAACTTCTAGTAACTACATTTTAAAGACTCAATCTAGCTGCTAGCACCCCAGCATTTGCTTTGCAATGTTTTGGCATTTTTTTTTAGTTTATATACCAGCTACTTTTACCAGTGGGGAAAAAAAATTAATGAGAAAGTGTTTTCCCACGTTCATCAAGACAGACTAAACACAACAATTAAAGGAATTCACTAAAGACTAAGTTTCCAAATCCTTCAGTTGTTCTGTGCCTTTTCTCTACATGCTCTCCAGTCCAAGAGCCTTTTTTCACCGTGGGGAGCAGAAGGAGGTCTGGAATTGCAGTAGAAGGCAGGTGAGCACCAAATGGGAACTGCATCATCTTCCAAAGACCCACTCATGATTAAGCCATGTTTACAGTTATCACACCAGTCCTTTAAGACCCTGCTGTCCCCCATCAGTGTGCATAATATCGAATGACTCCAGAGACACAGGTCACAAACTTCAAAAATGACACAGAAGCTCAAGTTTTGTAAGAGCAAACCACAAAAACAAAGACTCTTTACTTCCAGATGCTTCTTGCTCTAGATTCTGCTCTGTGTTCCCCGGTCTGTCTTTTACGCTCTACTTTCTTTAACAAACTATTAGCATACGTTACAAAGTCAAAGTACTTCTAATTATTTAAATCTTTGCATTTGCCCACTTCTGTAAGGAGAGAGGAGCTTGCAAACAGTGAATCCCTGTGTTTGCACCCAGTGCTGTGACATGATGAACAGGCTGTAATTACAAGGCATAGATCAGAGTAAAAACAGGCATATCATACTGTACGGTTTTTTCCGTATCCTTGTAAAGTAGAAGGGAATGGCCATGTGTAGATGCAATATAAGGTTTTTATCATAGTTATTAAAAAGAAAAAACAATCTGTGAAGAATAGTTGTAATATTCAGTATCATTATAAGGCTGTGCTGTACTAGTAATGCACTCTAGTGAATACAAACCTACAGAGCTACAGGGCCAGAAAGAGATATTTGTATGAAACATCTAGATGTAAATAAGTTATGTTCGGTATTTTAAAAAATTTAGAGACAATATTTTAGTGATTTTATTTCCTGAAAGTAAGAATCACTTCAAGTGTTATGTATGAACTAAGGGAGTATGAACCATGCCAAGCATAGTGGCCTGCCTACCATGTCTAGTCGCACTACCGATTCACTTTAAGATGCAGCCACTCAGTACACACTACACAGCTGCTGGACTTAACATCTGGATTGCTTTATAAATCTAGGCCACGGGGACTTAAATCCCCCCAAATTACAGGTGTAGACAAGGAAGGAAGTAGACCCGGATATCTCTAGTTATCAGCTTACCATGTTTACATGAAGTTCTAAGCAGCCTATGGTATTGTTTGAAATCAACTTGGTTAATCTGGTGCAAAAATTTGCAGGGAATTTCTTTATTCAGCTGCTCAATCGGTTTAATCTATTCCAGTATAATTCAATTTTGCACCCACATAAAGTACATTTACACAGAAGCTTGCAACCATTGAATTCAACTGTTTCTTTGAAACAATTTTTTATTAAATCGGCAAAACCTTCCTGTAAAAACAGCTCAAAGTAGACTTTATATCTTGTAGGGTTTACCAGTCTAGTTAGAACACCAAACCATCCAACTTTAGATATAGCTATTCTCACAAAAGAGTGGGTTTTTTTTTTGAAGCAGAGCTTACATTCGTACCTCCAATAAAATGTTAAGTTTTGACAATACACCTCGACCCTTCACTTGGACTGCTGACAGCACCTACATATCATCAGCAAATATCCACAGTTTTAGCAACCACTGCTGATGACAAGAGTTATAGTAAAAACTGAACCTGGTTACTGGCAGAGACACAAAGTTTGCAAAAACATGATGTGTGGTTAAAAATCAGTAACCAGAGAAGTCAGTGACAGGTCACAGCTGTCAAAGGCCTCAAGGTAGGTCAAGACTGATAATTACCATATTTCAAAACTGTTAACACAGGACGACTTCCATTTGACTTTTCTCAGAGCTTTTATGCAGAGAGAAAAAAAATAACCCCAAAGTAAAACCTTCAACTGCAACTGTCCCACCACCATCCCACCAGACC